TGGTTACTGTAGATTAGGAGACTAGCTATCGGTCTTTATCAGACTTGACCCCGACTAACGGTGTAATCACGGGGTCCTAGCCATGGTTATCGAGCAAACACCATCGCGTAGAATCGACTGTTCTTAACATCACTTAGAGCATGTAAATCGTTTCAAAAGTGTAATGGGAAGTTCTGACGCAACGAGAGATAAACATAATATAAAAAATTCGTTTCACTTTTTTCATGATAGTTCCAGACAAGTTGCATCATTCCCAAATTCCAGGAACTGACAATTACTTATTTAGATATTGCCCGAAGAGAATATCTTTCACTCACTATTTCGGTCTCGATTTATAAATGTAATACCAGCGAGAATTTCCTAATAATCATAATCTAATCTCGTTTCCTATCACTGCTTCTTTGATTCATTTTCTTTCGACTATTTTCGTAGCGAAACGGTGGCGTGCGACATGATGTCGACGCGTATTGTCAACGCCGGAAATTAATGGTTAAAACTGGTAATTACCGTTCTTTCTTCCCCGTATCCCCTTTATCTTTCTCCATTTTCAGCGACGAGCGTCATAACGTTGTTATTCCCGCCGTGGCTTCTTTATCAGAAGCGTCTCTTTATCCAGCAATTAGCGTGCCACTTATCGATCCCGTGTCGCGAAAGGTCGCGGCTAATTTCATGAAACCCGGGCCAATCCGCTTTTGGGAAACGTTCCATTTACTTTAACCGTTGCAAAGTTAATTAATCTTGATACCGATTCGGGTAATTAGCAAAACACGATATTGTTTTATCTCGTTCGAGTCAAATATTGTTGCTTGTGAAACAGTTTGTTGACGATGAAATTAAAGAAGTTCGGTCCAACTGGTCAATAGATTCTCGATGAACTTTTACAAAATGAATAATCAATTGGGCAACGTTATTGGAATTTTATTATCAGGTAAGTCAGTTTCATTTTAAGCAACGTCAATTGTGGGATTGACACAAATTCAATCGTGTCAAGTTTCTGTCTACCGTAAAGAACCGATTGCATCGTCTCGTTAATAAGGAATAAATTTCCAAGTTTTATAAAATAAATAAACAATTTGTAGGATTTCTAGTCAGATAAATCAGTTTCATGTTCCTGTTATGTATTTCATTTTAATTTAGCAACCTCGATCGAATCACTGACACAAATTCAGTCGTCTATCTACCGCCGCAAGCACCGTCAAACCAGCTGTCAATTATAGCTCGACAATAATTTCTACGCTCGATCTGTAATTCTTTTTTGCCCTCCCTCCCTTTCACCCTCTGTTTTCGCTGTTAATAAATAATCGCGGTTGTTGAACTATAGATAATGCGTAAAAATAATTGAACGAGATTCACTCGGCTATTTTTACCACCGGAAGGCTTCGATCTTTGTTTCACAAAATCATTGACGAAATTGTTATATAAATAAACTTTATTTCGCTCCTATTTCTCTTTAGTTTCTCGATATTTTTACACGTCGTTTTCCTGTTTCCGCCTGTTTTCCTGTTTTGTTCTATGGTAAACGACGTTATAAATAAAATGTTTGTAAATGTTATAAAATAAAATGTGTTTTAAAATGTATTTTCGTATTGCATTGAATATGTAGTTCAGTGATAAGAATGGAAGAGAATAAGAATTTCTGGTAATGCTAGAAAAGTCTATTTGATAAATATCAATTTTTATATCCAACAGACGTGGACCGATAGAGCGGCTGTTTTTGATGTAATTCGGAAAGCGTGAAAGAGATCATCGGAGGTTAAAGAAAACACGTCGAAACCAGTAATGGAATTGAAGTTTCTGGCAGGGCAAGGAATTCATTATCTCGCCGAGATATTATGGAGAGTCGGAAGCGTGGCTAATGATCCACGAACTCTATGTTTGCTTCATTGATTAGGGATCCATAAATGACGATTGTTTTGTCGTTGCACTCAAGTTCGTTGTTGCACAAATAACAGGGACCAGAACGTTCCCCCGATAAGAGGCGCGTGTTCCAATGCGTAATTATTGAATTACTACTGATACCGTTGTCAATCTCGTTCCTCATTATGTTAACTTCTAGATATTTCTGTTTTCGGGAATCGCTGACACTCCCATTGTTTACGATGCAAGTCACGCTGCTGTGTAACGCGTAGTTTAGTGCGACCATTGTGACACGAATGCTATATTAAAATGGTCACAAAATCTTTAAAACATTTTTCTACCTGTTTTCAGCGACTCTAATAAAAACAGTTAACAGTTAGACTTTTAGTATCAACCCTTGCCAGACTTGTCCAGCTTTTTTCTAGATGAAACATTCCTCTTTGCGAATATTGAAACTTTTTTGCGAGGGTAAACCCGTGCTCGAATCGACGACAGGGATTTATCGCGTAGAAACGGTGCAATTGCCTGTGGACGGGCGACAGAGAGAACGTGTAGGGCTTCCGGCACTTGGGCCCGCGCCATTGCAATCGATACTCGTTGCAATAAACCGTGGTTAATATTCTGCATTATGTCTCGAACGCATCCACCATTCCGCGAGAATGCGTTTCCAAACGAGAGACTTGGGATCAAAGATATTAACGTGTAAAGGGCAAAAATTTGGATTATTAAATTCCTGCCATAAGAAGAATTACTGAGAGAATACTATTTTTAAATAAAATGTACAGTTACTATCTAACTACGAAATAAGTAGTATGCGATTTTCTTTTTATAACGGAGACTGAAGTGCTCATGAAAGCTTCCCCTGCATCCTTTTAGGGAGCAGGGCTTTTAAGCGCCGAGGGTTTCAAAGGCAGAGTACTTTCAGGACTGTATCACTTAGACCGAACGATTTACGACTGAGAATTTTGTTCGCGGCGTTATCATGTAAAACCTCGATGTTACGTTGAAAATAATAATACTCTGGTGAAATCTGACGAGGAAAGAGGCCACGCGACGGACGTCAGCGCGTCGTCGTCTGAACGCGTCGGGATCGTGGCTACAAGCGAGGCGCCTAAGCATCACTTTTTACCATCGCGCGCGCTGATAACGCGTCGTTAAACGATAAGGACCACAGGCTAACCCCGGGCCAATAAATGCGGAGACTTTGCGCTCGAGCGACGCATATTACCACGCGTTCCTTCCATGAATTCACGTTTCTCGTACGCTCTCCCTTTCGCGTCTTAAATATGAAGTGGATCTTAGACATCGTTGAGCATCGTTATATGTATAAATTTCGTTCGGTGCCTCTGTTTCTCTCGATAATATCCTAATGAGATTCCGCTGATCGTGAGTTGAAGACGTTTCGTGAGAAGTTCCTGTGGTGATTCCTGTGAGAAATTTTCAAGGCTCGCTGTTGAACGTCGAGCTGAACTATTGTGTCGGAGTGAAGACATTGACCTTAAATCTCGTTGAACGGTGAACTGAAATTTCTAGATCTATCGCTCGTGAAAGGAAGAGATCGTTGGAAAGTCTGAGAAAATTCAGGATCTTACACACTGATCAAAGCCTAATTGTTCGACGAGCTTAAAAATATAGCACTGTGCTGACTCGTCGTGAGACTGACTTCAAAGTATCAACGTTAAAGTATTATAAAGTGACGATACCGAGATAAACACTTTCAGTGTATTCTACAAACATAACCGGAAGTATTAGAACACAGTATAAGATCGTGTTCTTTGAAATAATAAAAGATGCTAGATCGTAATGTGGTACTAGTTTTGCGCACCAGACAAGAGAGAACCGAGAGGCGATTGAGGCACAAGAAAGAGGCGAACCCTCCACCGATGGAACCACCCCCGCAGCTGCTGAACAATAATTACCTGTACAGCGATCTGAACATGAACTTCAGCGAGAACGCTAAGCAGCGAACGGCCAAAACGAAAAAGGTAGGCCAACATTCCCACTGATGAAACGTTGCATCAGATTTCTGATACCAACGATTAAAAATTTGTATGTACGCATCTTATGAATTAATTGCCTCGAGGATAAACATCAATTATGCGAATCACGTAGGTGACGAGATTGCCGTTTCATGTGAAATATGGTTGATTTCACGGATGCTAGCGTCACTTAACGTCAAAAGTTATTGCCACTAATTAATCAACAAGTAAAACGATTGCCAACGATGTATTACGCGCGTGGTCGGTTACACGCTCTATCCTTCGTATTTACATAGGTAGAACTTTACGTAATCCATGGATCGTTTATGTAAGAACAAAACCCCGGTCCATTTCACTTTCATCTCTTATCAGTAGAACTGGTTTAGGCATCGGATTACATGTGTTCACGATAAATAGACTGCGAAACATAATTAAAAAATTGCAACATTCATTTGATTTTCTCTACTTTTACCTGTTTATATTTTCTTATGAATGGTGAAAATTTATGATAATTCCATTCTTATGCTATCTGAAATTCTATTTATAACCACCCTTAAGGACGTTCACCCTCTACGTTGCTCGTGGCTTGCAAGCGTCACTGTCATCATTTATCAAGCTTTCGCATTGAATGACTCTATTCTATTATAGGATACACTGGGTATGAATTTAGCGCAACTAGTTATAAATAGATGCTACATAGAAACTTCAGTACATGAGATGAATTCTCAAACATCTGAAACGATAAAATTGAAGAAATATTATAAAGTCTAGTGCTAACCACAAGTAGGTAGATTTCACGGGAAGAAAGGAGCAGTGTCGTGATCTCAGGTTATTGCACTTTCTCCGACTAACTATCGTCGTGAGAGAATCTTCTTTGAACGGTACCGGAGCGAAAATAATTAGATTTCGAGGCAGCTCAAAGAGGATACCGGAAGACGATGCAACGCGTTTCGTAACCACCGACAGTTTGACGTCCGTTTCCGGGTTCTCTCTCATCTATAATTATCTACCCTTTGAAATTCTTACCATTATCGTTAATCAATCTCTAACAATGGTATTCATGTAATGTTCTTGTTATTAAATTATATCTTTTAAGTGGATCACAAGTCGAAGTTCTTTTCAGTCTTTCTTCTTTAAATAGATAATCAGTATTTACCTTGTACCATTTATTTTCACAAATGGATTAGAAGTACTTTTTAGTTACGAGAAGTGAATTTGACGGATATGATAAACTTTTCAATAGAATATTTTTTGCGACGAAGAGGATTAACGTTTGAAAAGTACAGACGCAAACGCGTGGAGAAATGGACAGTGGTGTAGAATAACGGCGCGAGGGACGAACTTGTAGGATGTCTTGTCAGTCAACAGCCTCAGGTATTCATGGGATTCTCCCCTTCGAAGCGACGAGGCTGCACGTCGCTCGTAATTTGGCTTACTGTCGACCTTTTACCCGAGCTTTCATCGCGGACTCTTTTTCTCTTTCTACGCAAACCGCGAAATGACAGACAGTCAGTCATACAGACTTATTTTATGATCGCAATTCATCTAGAATTAATTCAGTCTCGTATGGAATATTACAATTTATGTAACTATGGTAACAGGAATGTTTTTTTTTTTATTAAAGCCATCTCATTACACGTGATTGATGTCACATTAATTTGTGTTCTAATACTTGCCACCTTCGCAGCTACATTATTATCTGCTAGTTACGTAAATATATTTGCCGGGGTTCGTCAGATATGCAGCAAGATATTAAAATTATATAAATGCCTGCAGAAACGAATGCAAGAAAACAATATTCCTCTCATAAAAAGATAACCACTCGATGTTTTGCATGTTTACTTAATTGAAGAGCTTTTTCATGAATCACGTGTCGAATCTCGGTCTTCCTTACGATTTTTCCGACCGTCGCGTCGTTTCGTTACGTACGCTAATTAATTATATATTCACGGCGCGTAGAAACGCGTTGCTCATCCTCGCTTATTTACGACTGCACCGCTCTTAAAAGAATCTGTTCGACGTTTCCATTGTAAGGGGGTAGCGCTCGGGATCATTTGTAAAGATGATTAATTGAATCTCGAGAAATGATGCGACAATCATTTTTCTTCTGTCGAGTAATAAATGAATTGGAAGATGCTTGAAATTCGTCTTGAATAAATGTGATTGTGTTCGATGTTTCGTGAGAGTCGCGAAACTAGATCAAAGATTTCTTTAGGTCAGGGTTCTTCACTAACAAGTCTGTTCGAGGGTTGATCGATAAACGAGGTGCGCCTTGCGAACAATTCTGGTGGATTTAACACAAGCGTCCATTCTTCTTAACATCTTTTAGTACTTCATATCGTATTTGAACGCTTTTAATGGCTGTCCCAGTTTATTCTTAATAGAATAGATATATCGATATGTGCAATAGCCAGATATTGCGATTTTAATGAATTAAATTATATATTTACAAATCATATCCACGTATAAAAAACACTAATTATAATCAGTTTGCATGGATCGTACATAAGGGAAACGCGTTTTACTCGGACGAGTGGAGAACCGTAATTACACCGCGGCAGCTGATTAACGTGGCCAGGGACGAAACGTTTTCTTGGCCGATGTAATGTGACGAATTAATGGGGCGTACGGTGATCACCGTGATTTATCGATCGTTTGTCTCAGAGCTAGCATCCTTGTTCTTCGATCCAAAATTAATCTAGGTCAACACATACTCTATAATCTACTGTTTTAATAATTTTTTTGTACAAATCGTTGGAACTCTTAAAAAATGTCTGATTCCTTGAAGAATTGCTAATTTTCGATTTGCAATCAAGTCCCTTCGCGTCGCAAAGATATTGTTACGTGACCATTGTGCGTCCGATGACTGACCTACTGATTTAGCATTTGATCGATCAAGACGCCGGCGAGAAGAACTCGCGAGAATACGGTTTTCCATTTTTACTGTCGACAAGTGAATTAATAATTCTGTCGTGTTTATCGCATTCACGTGGTATTGCTCAATACTCGTCATCGAATTACGTTCATGTGGAAGATCTTGCTCGTAACTCTGTACCGCGAATGTGAAAAAAAAATAGCGAGATCAAACTGTACAAATTATCCATACGAAGCACGTAATTAGGAGTTTATCTGCGAGTCTCGATGATAGAAATTTTTTCACCAGAGGTCATTAAAATTGTAATCGCTGGGCAAATGATAAATCAATGGAGCGGTTAGAATGAAAACTCGCATGTGGTATTACCGGAGGTCGTGCGAATTTATCGGGATCGTAGTGAAACCAGTATCTTACATAAAGCACCCCGACGACGATGGAATTGTATGGCGACGAGACTGTCCTTAAAGGTGACGCGTGATCATTGGGTCCCCATGAATCCGCGAACCAGCACGTACAGATCGCCGATCGATAACGTTAATTGCTCCTGCGGATCGATTAAGAAAACAGATCCGTCTATTTGTACCCTTGCCTTGAGTAAATAACGCGAGTTTTGCGAAATCTTTATATAATCTCGAGGACGTGAATCGATGCTTTTACATTTCTATTTTTCTCATTAGTCCACTTCGAACGTAAGTCACTTCGTTACTCTTTAAAATACTGGTATAACGAGATTAAAGTTGTATCTGGTGTTGAAAATTGTCTCTGATTCATCTGAGGACGCAGTCAATGAATCTCATGAAACTCTCGTTTTCCTCTGAAACGCGGATAGACGATCAGGATTTTAAACGATCGACGAATAATCGCTGCTTTACGTAAGCGTGGTGAGAGGGTACGATAGTAAATACGTGACACATTCAGTAACTTATGCAACCCGCGAATTCTTCTGATTCGCAAAGATTCATAATCTCGTTGCCTCAATACTGAAATGCTCCGCTTTGCGCGATATGCTAATTTTCTTATTTGATCAGGAGACTATCTTGCTCATCTTCTTGGAATAGATTTTATCTGACAATGACTTTGTTGGATTAATGATACGAAAAGGGTAAGCTTCGTGATTTCAAATAAACTTCACATGCAGAGATAACTATTATACATGGAATAAAAATTTCCTCTAAAGCGATACGACGGTGATTTATGTATAATTAATTTAAAGACCATAAACTACGTTCGTCAATTAAGATTATGAGAAGGAAAAATCGTGTGTAATCTTGAGATTGACACGTCGTTAGACTTTGGACTTTATCACTGGCTCATCCCCCGTTAATTAATTACCAGCCTGTCGCGCAATTAGTGCAGAAAAGTGCAAGACGTTGCCTCGCGTAACGCAAGTTCTAAATTAATGCTACTCAGAGTTACACGAATTATCTCGCTATTAAATTATAATACTGTTGAAAGTAGACGACTTTTCCTATAGGAGGATGTAACAATTAATATTTGTACGGCCTTCGAACAACAGATAAAGATACTAATGTTTACCAAGTACTAAAGATTACGTACACATTCCGATGCACTTGGAACAAAACTGTGTTTGTCTCGCATCAAGGATTGAAACCTTAAACAAGTATCATTGTTAAGAAGAGTGTACGTAGAGTACCTATGTTGAAACTATTTTTAGTGCTCAGATATTGAGTTTAATCAACAAATGATCCCTAGATCTGAAGATATTAGTCAATTGATCAGCTGACTCATGTTCTTATCTATGCACATCCTAACATACGTTATACAATATCTTTTATAAAATTAGTTTAATAATTTCCTTCAATAAAAATTATTTTCCAATCGCTCATTCGACCCTATCCCATTCTTAGACTTCAATCTCGTAGAGTCAATCAAGAGTAATGAAGGAATTACTAATCCTTTATCGAGGTAATCTCACGTAATCTGAAAATCTCATCTTGAGTAACCACGGCGGCGGTGGCGGCGGCCGAAACATCCAACTTCGCACGTGAATCGTTTACGTAACGCGCTAGTTGCTCGCCGAGGTGGAGCCGAAGGGAACAGCAGCGTGCAGAAACGGGGGGACGATAGTTGCATGACGAGGCCTTGCGGCTCACCGCGCACCAGCTCCGAGTCCAAGGCACTCGTGTTACGCCTACGTGTTGTCACCGCTACGTGCATCCGTCCGGCCAGGGTACGCTGAGAAACCACGGAAAACTCGTCGAGCTCGTGAACCAGGTGGAGGGGCACCGTCACGCTCCTCCCTGTTATTATGCACGCGTTCCCTTTTTGGCATTTTTCCGCGCGGTGCTCTTAGTCCCGCACCATCGTCCGCGACCGCTGGTCTCTCGAGCCTCTCCTCGTTTTTTTTTTTCGTTCAGTTTTTTCGATTCTAACTGGCAGCACGCGTATGGTGTACGATCGAATAATTGTAAGGGTTCCAAGAGTGAGCCGTCGGGGAGGTTGCGTTCTCCTGATTGAAATTCATTGACGTTTCATTCGAATTATTTCGAACATGTTCGAGCGATTAAGATTATGATCGCGCATACTGTTTACGTCTTCCATTCTGAATCTCGTAAATCGTCACTTGAAATCAGCCAACCACGAGCCAACGAACTATCGCGAGATGTCAAAGACCGCGAGTGCGTCTGAGAAACCGAGCGCGCACGTCCCAGGGTTCTCCATTTCACGACCTAGCCGTCGATCTTGAGTGGTCCAGCCGCGGAAGGCGTTTCCATTCGTCTAGCCCACCCGTCGATCATCGAGGGAAATTATACAAGAATAAAAGTAAAAAAACCGAGTGAGTGGGAGAGTACGCGTCGGATTATCCGTGGCCGGGCTGTGATCGGACCTAGAAAGACGGCTGTTCTAAGGTTTCCGCGTCGGCCGTAGGAAGCCAGCCCGTGGACTACTGTCCGCCAGAGCGAGACACACGAAACGGCGACGCGCGAGGATCGTGCCGAAGCAGCTGCGAAACAAAAGGTACGAGAGCGCCTCTCCTGTCCTCTCTCTGGCCCGTCCGCGTGCGGGATGGATCGGAACGAGAGCGCAAACGAGGGCGGAAGCTCGCCGGACACGGTGATCGCTCGGTCCTCGTCCGAGGAGGACCGGAACAAGTACGCGTGCACCACTTCCGGCGAATACGCGACCGTCGGCGGCAGCAGCTCCAGTCTGGACACTGTCACCGGCGCCGGGGTCGTCGCCGGCGTCGCCGAGGACAAGAAGAAGGGTAGATTCGGCGCGCTGAAGCAGAGTTTTCGGAAAGAGGGCGGACTGTTCAAGATCAGGAAGAAGAGTAAGCCCCTGGACGAACCGGCTGTCGAGACCGAACAGGACGTCGAGGAAAAAGGTTCTTGGTTGAAAAAGGGTGCGGTGGTGGGTGGTCACGTGTGCAAAACCACGGTGATAGGGTTCATAATCGCGTCTCTCGTTTGATAAGAACGATCGGATGCAGTTCTCTCAATTATTTCGAACGAGTGCCCGAGTCATAACGTTGGGACTCCTCTTCGGATGAATGGATTCTTTGAAACGTTAACTGGCATTAATTGCTCGGTATCTCGGCTATTATCGTTAATCTATGGATTTACGTGCTCGACTTTTTCCCAGTGGATTCATTCGTTTCTCACTCTTTGTTCTATGTCACACCTCATACATCCATGTCCATTAGAATTTATCCGAATCGTCGAGACGCCAAGTTATTAGTAATAAGTAGCGATCCACCCTTGCCACCACCGAACGACCCAGTAGGGCTGTTAAAACAAGCTCTGAGACCTTTCTCCCGTGACAGAAGCGGGTTGCAAGCGGAGCCCGGAGGAGGAGGATCGCAAGGACGATGGCTCGCCGTCGACCTTGAAGAAGAAGAAGAAAAAGACGCACTCGCTGGTGCGCAAGCTAAGCCTGAACAAATTTCGCCTGTCGGCCGAGCAGGAGCAGCGGCACACGCCCGAGGGTGGCGACAGCAGCCGATCGCAGAGCCAATCGTCGCAGGAATCGCCCAGTTTGTCAGAGAGTCCGTCTAGGAACGTGAGAAAAAAGGGGCAGGAGGTGATCGAGAGGCTCGGCCATCGCGACGCATCGGCCGATGCAGGGCGACGCGACGTCCCGCCGATCGGATTAGACGCCGAGAAGGGGGAGGCGAGGAAACCGGAGAAACCGGTGAGCACCGTGACCGTAGTGCAACGCAGGTCGCCGTCGTTGACCATCAGGAGCTATCCCAAGAGCAAGCACGGTGAGCGATCCCTCTCTCTCTCTCTCTTTGACGCTCTCTTCTGCACCCTCGAATTGGTTTTGGTTCACTCACTTTGGCTGTGGTTGGGTCTGATGGCCTGTGTAATTCTTTTATCGGTGGCTAGATCGGTCCCTTACTTTCTTCAGAGAAATATACTTAATACTGAGAGATATTGGCACTTAGGGGATTTTTGTATCTTTTTTTAATACTTCACCAAATCTGATTAGAACTTGTCGGTATAGAAACAATTCTACCTGTTAACCCAATACTTAGTCGCACTGCGTACTAACCTAGTTACCTGCCTTCAAAGATGCCATCGGCTCAATACACCACCGCATCATCATCATCATCATCACCATCATCATCGTCATAATCATCATCATCCCTCCGAACTCGCATGAACCTGGTGTCTGCGTGCGCAGATTCCGAAACCGCTGAGAGTTCATCGACGTTGGAAGCTCGTTGCAGTTCGACGCTTCCCTACGCGATTTCGAAATGGCCCGAGCAGAAGAACGATCCTAAGAAAACGAAATTGAACGTGAAGTCGGAGTCCGAGTCCAGCGTGCCCAAGTCCTCGCCGCACGAGGTCAGGCGGAAGTTGTCTTGTCTGGAGGAGAAGCGAGCGATTTTTCAGCGTCGCCTGTTCGACACCACTCGAGATTCCGAGGGGACGGTGATCGCGGTCACTTTGGACGACGACGACAGATCAGCTCCGAAGGAAGAACAGAAACGGGAACCGACCGTCAGAAAGAAGGCTAGGCATATCAGCGTTAAAAAGTTCGATACGTTCTCGACGTTCGAAGGGACCTTCGACGAGGAGACCGGTGTCGGTTACTTAGCGGGCATTGAAGAGGACTATACCGAGAGTTACGACAGACAGAACGAGAACTACGCAGCTACCATGGGGCCCATGATGGGCGAGAGCTCGGAGAAGAAGATTGTCAGTCAGGACAGCATGGTGAGGAGCACTGGCCAGAATTATTTTCATTTATCGATCGTCGACGACGATTTCTGAGTCGCTGCTTTTCTCCGTCTGACCGATTCGAGTACGCGCGATAGACTTGTACTACTTGTCGCGGACACGTCAAGTTGTACTACTAATTCTACCTCATTCTATTTGACCATCACGTTTATACCTGCAATATTCCGTGCAACGATCTCCAAAATCGTTCGAGCTACAGATATTTAAATTAATCGAAGATATTATATCATCGTTTTACAACAAATTCTCTACGTTAAAAATTTGTATGACGAAGTAAACGAGGAAACTCGAGACCTATCGTTTTTCCAAACGCGTACTTTGCATAATCAGGTTTCTCTTTCTCGATATCGACACTCGCCTCAATTTCAAAACACGTTTCTCGGTCTCTATCCGCCGAGAATGCTGCACCGTGTAACTCTATGATGCAGAAATCGTGACGCGGACGCGTTCTGCGGTCCCGGTTTGTGGTACGTCGCGGCGCGAGTCTCCCACCGCCTTTTGTCTCGTGTACTTCTCACCCCTGCCGAGACGAGACTCTCAGATTACGTGGTCTATCTGCATGCCGCCCCCCTATCTCGGTCTAAGCCTAATTGGAATGCGCCTCCGTTTCTGAGAGGAAAATGTAGACAAATTTCCTCTCAAACGACAAAACAATTCCCCGACGAAAGATGTTGAAGACTTCGAAGTGAAAATTAACGACCCATCTATTCCCGATTAATTAAGATTTTTAAACATTCAAGTCTATTAGGATAATGTGACTAGTCGAAGTCGTAGTTCTATGACACGTAATCTTTGTGAACTAAGTAGGTACCCAAGGGTGTACGTGAGTAAGATCACGTTGAAAGATCATTAGAAATTTTCCAGAAGCCTCACTATCGCTACTCGGATAGATACTTAAAATATGGAAAGTTAGCATGTTCTCTCCACAGACATTTCTAGTATTATTTAGAGATAATACTTGTTTATCTACTGTTTATACTACATTTTATCACTTGTAATCTAGCGCTGCAATTTTGCCAAGGAACATATCAGATAAGGAAGCTGACATAAGTAATGTGTGACGGCAATAAACAAATTGTTAACGAACTATCAAGGGACAAAGTGCGGCTGGGATTAAATACGAACACCGTAAAACAGCGTTACGTGTTCTAATTTTACAGCAGACTATGGCTACCACCGCGTTTATGGTTACGCTGCGGTATTTTCCATGGATTATCCTCGCGTGTGACCGTACATAACGTGGATCGTGTTTCTTATCGTTGGTTTATCAGTAGACCGCAGATTTTATGCATTCATGGCAAAATTCGTTCATACAGAATGCACCTAACGTGCAGAACACCAAAAGTATGCACATTATTATTTTTGAAGAATGACAGAAATCTCGATTTGGATATCATTTCTTAAATTGATATCATGAAAATTGTACATAAAAATTTGTAGTCTATTTATCAGAATGGTATTTTATAGCCAACGTAATTGCAAACGTTCCCATATATCAGCTTAAGAAGCTTGTAAAAGATGCTTGAACTTTAACTATCGCGTATCGGTACGTCGTTATGTCGATGTGTCAACGGTTTTAAGATTCGATTGTTTGTCTCGGAACGCCCGGGTGAATCATTCAAGTTTAGCCCGCGGACCAGTTCAGAACGTCGGACGAACGTCCCGCTCGACGATTGTATTTATTATTGTGCACGTGATTCGAGAGACAGCATGGAAGTCGATCAGAGAATCTGGAGGAACTTTCCAGCTTTGTATAATAATATCTCCAGTTTCCAAAAGAAAGTGAACGAGAAAAAGTGGACACTGTGGCGGGTTGGTTTTTCAATTTTTCGTGACATCTTTAAGCCGTGATTGATGGGACTGATTTCTCGTCTGATGAAACTTATTCATTCGTAAATTAACTGAATTTTTCCAAATCAGGTCAAATTATATAACGCGTTTCGATTATTACATCACCAAAAGAATAATTATCAAATTGCTGTAATAATTTATTGCTTCTAGTACATTCATACCACGATAACCATAGTTTTCGTTTTACTCTGCGTCTCGATAAGATAACTAAAATCGTTTACATGAGAATACTTGAACAGAATTTTGGCCGATGGTCCATCAATCAGCGAAGCGAAGGAATTCCAGTGAGAAAAAAAGTTCGAAGTCAATTTCCCTCTCGTTAATTCTATCTTAATTTACGATAACTACTAATCAGTTGTCAAGAGACTCAACAATACAGTTAGTTGCATAATAAAGATAAGGAACATTATTTGTTCCAGCAGTAGACAGAAAATAATAGGAACGTTTGAGATAGCTATTGCTTATTATAGCCTGCCCTGAATAATTTGTTGTGGTCATTATTACCAGACAATAATTTTAATGAACTGTTAATTGAATAATTGCATTCGAAAGTTTAAATACTATCGATTCATACTAATTTTCCTACATAGAAAAAGGAATTATTTCTGTCTCAAGATATTCTTATCACGATGATTCTATGCTAAGCATAATTAGACCGACGATATACCTATTACAATAATCTACTGAATATTGATACGAACGTAAATAGAAATTGGAATTAATCCGATGAAACTCCGTTTATACCCACAGTCGTCACAGAACAACGCGCCTAATGCCGGAGTAGGCGAGAAACGTGAGCACTTGTACAAAATTCTGGTGATCGGCGAGCTGGGAGCTGGGAAGACGTCTATCATCAAGAGATACGTCCATCAGTTTTTCTCGCAGCATTACCGTGCCACCATTGGCGTCGATTTCGCGTTGAAAGTGTTGAACTGGGACCCACACACTATCATAAGGCTGCAACTATGGGACATCGCTGGTAAGTCTTCGTTTCAAAATTCTTGGCATGTTTCCTTTTGATTCATTTATCAATAGTACCACTGCGATTAGGTGTATAAATTTAATAAAAGTGGCGAAATATGTTTAGGTCAAGAGAGGTTTGGCAACATGACGAGAGTATACTACAAGGAAGCGGTGGGTGCGTTCATAGTGTTCGACGTGACGAGGAGTGCGACCCTCGACGCGGTGGTAAAATGGAAACAGGATTTGGACTCGAAGGTCCAACTTCCTGACGGCTCGCCGATTCCTTGCGTGCTCCTGGCCAACAAGTGCGACCAACAGAAGGAGGGTGTCGTGAATTCTCCTACGAAAATGGACGAATATTGCAAGGAAAAGAATTTCTCCGGGTGGTTCGAGACCTCGGCCAAAGAGAACATCAACATCGAGGAGGCTGCACGATTCCTTGTCAATAAAGTGAGTACAGAATCTCCAAGCAGATCGGCAATCGATATTTTGTTCAATGATATATGTAATAAGATGTGTGAAAGATTAGAATTTCCTTTCACTGAATTTCTACGAACAGCAGATAATTGGATTGACATAACGTGAGATGTAGTAATTAATATTGTGATAGATACGAAAATATAAAACGATGTGTAATGAAGTACCGTTCACCGCAAACCGTAGTTCTAGCTGAGTAATTAGATTACAGTAATCAATATTTACTTCGTCGCTTCTCGAGTAATAGATTGCGCTAATCAATACTTTCTTGAGCTACGCACAAGTTATTTACGGCATATCGTACTGTCCCCGCGTACAAAGTTTCCAATTCTCTGATATGAACGAAACGCGAATGAACAAATTAACAATCTTTCAATGATTGTAAGTTATTTATAGACTGATGGTTTTCATGCAGAAAAACATGATCATAGTATCAGTACAAGAAACGTATTCTCAATAGTCATTCAGCTTCTGACGCTCTCAATAGTCACGCCCATTACACTAATTATTTAACATAAATATCCTTGCTGTTTCAGATACTTCAGAACGATCAGTTGATGAAAGGGAACGGCGCCCAGGACCAGGCGGACGGCGAGCGTTTCGCGTTGAATCAATCGCCGACTAATTCAAAGAAATCGTGTTCCTGCTGACGAATCGGTAACTCACCGATAACAAGGTCGTCCGGTCCGTTATCACCGCATCACCGTGCATCCGTCGGTGCCATGACAGGAATGCCCCCTTCTTCCGACGAACCGATCGTCGTCGGATCTCGTCTCGATGACACAAACGTTCACCGTTCGAAATCAACCTTCTCTATCAACGCTTTCCGAGGTCTTAGAAATTGGAACTACTTCTCAAAAATTGTAATACTTTAAAACTAAGTTACGACGAATTCTAATGCTACGTTTGCCAGTGGTTAAAAGCGTCGTTAAACACTGCACTTCATCTTTGTACATACACACGCGTTCGTAAGTTATAGGGTGGCAACGCTGGCGAAGAAGGTTGCTTCGATAAATGAAACAAACCGAGACCGGGCCATTCCAAGAAATCAATTCCAGAAATAAAATTCCACGTTTCATTATTGCTGTACAGTATTGAACTTGAAGGTTTTGTAGCTGCGAACGACGGGACTTGGGAGTGACACAGTCGATATTATTATTTGGCCTGGGAGCAAAGCTTCGAGGGGTGGAAAGAGAGAGCATCGAATATTTTAGAAAAAATATTCTATATATCGTTTCCTGCTTTATTTCTCATTTCCACCCCTCAATCGTGAAAGACTAACAAACGAACCATCTACGCATTCCAGCAATTTTTATATCAATTCTAACTGTTAAGTTCACACCGTCATTTTTATTAAACGACAACGTAGGGCTCTTACATAACAAAATAACTTCACGTAACATAACTTTCTGATCGAGCTCACAGATTAAAGACTAACGATCAAGGGTTTGACAAGAGGATCCTCTCGTTTCTTTTAAACGTACGATGGAAGCATTAACACGACCGTGACTTACTCGAATCGAGAGAATAACAATCAGCCGATCGGCAATTATGATAAACCTAGCTTTTATGTAACAGTGCACCAACGAATTCAGAGATCCGTCAAGGAACCGGTTGAACGTCGGAGAACGTTGCGACCGGTTTCAAGAAAACAATTCCTCTTTTCTAACGAGCTGTAAAGTAGAACATTTTTATACGAATCGTTGAAAATCGTCCACGAGAGGCGAAGAAGGAAATCGAGCGTCCCTGCGTTTTTCAAACGGATACATTTTGTTCATACGATATACAAATTGTATTTATATGTATAAGAAAGTATGTTATATATAGTAAACGTATAATTTATAGTAAAGTCATTGAGATTCAATAGAACGTTTCTGTTTCGACTCAATGTTGACCTCAGCCTCCTCAGGTTATTTAATTAATTCCCCGTTACTAATTATCGACCGAAGCATTCAATCGCAATTCTATCGCAACGTTTCCACGTAATTAAATTCAGACGAAACAGGACGCGAGCGTCCTTATACAATTCTGCGTCATAAAGTAAGTACCTACCACGGAATTCACTTTCACTTCGTGCAGGGCTGATGTAACTATAAAATCTTCCACCGCTATACTTGTCAATTCTATGATCCTAGCTAGTCCCGCTACCATCGATTTAAAGATCATTGCGCACAATTGTTCCAAGTTCTAAATTCTCAACGAAATTCATCCTAATTGATAAGTTCCACGATTTTTAATTATACAACGATGCAATTTGATCGTTCCAAAAATAAGCGTCGCATTTTTGTAGTCGCAGACTATTGATAAGGGAATTGGACGAGGTTTTCTATTGTAATTCATTTTAGGTGTTTTTCTATTGTAATTCATTATGACGAAAATTTCTGAGAATTTCTGCGAGCGTCACCTTGGCGGACAAGGATTCGTGTTCGGTCAGGGTTGTTTCCCGTCAGCTTCGAATAACAAATCTTTCACTCAGCTCGTGTGTGCCTTCGGCCATTCATTCGCGATCTCATAGTCATCGCGCGTGTAATCGCCGTTGCGTAAGTGACACTCGTATCCTTTTTTCTACGATACGTTCTCATACCCGTCCCTCAAACTTGCCATAACTCAGACTTACTACGAATCGATTCCAATTTTTGATAAATGGATTATGCAATAAGTATTGATGAAGTAATTACCTAGCCTAACAGTTATTCTAATTAATTTAAGGTATCTTATTGTAATTAGCGATAAGGAAACGATGTACGATGTTACATATTTTAATAAATTATTTAGCGTTGTTAAGAAGAGAGCATTTTCTTTCCAATTGAATCAACGATTTTTTTAGGTACCATGAGAATCACTGGCATGATTCGGTCTTAATTACGAGCACACGCTCGACGTTTATACCGTTTAAAAGAATTGCATAGGAAACGATGAAACCGTATTTCCTTCTACCCGAACGCGATATCCTTCCTCTGTCCCATCGCATTTTATACTCGCTAATTAATGTGAGTTCTCTATTTTTTTCTTCACCGCAAGTTTTATTTTGCATACAGATCCGTGGTGTAATTCGTAACATAATGGAAGTACATCCGTTGCCTTATCGTTCTTCCAGATATGCAACAATTTCTCAAATCAAGAAGTCAGTAAACAAGGCAACTAAACTTCGTAATGAAACACAGATTGTTCTGCTTATCAAGAAAATTAGAGGATCAAATTAATTATCGCAGGATTAAATTTAATCCGTTTAGAATGTACAAAATCAGAGCGAGAATGAAATTACACGCAACTTCCTGAGATCCCTTAAACTTCATTATCTGTTGTGTCCACAGAAAAATATTATTTATAATTCAAGAAAAGTGCACAAGTTATCTCGTTAGATAACAGAGATAAACAGCGAAGAAGCAGACTCCTGTTCCTGAAACTCGTTTAGAATTTTACCGGGTCTCGCGAAGGAAAGGCAAAATGTTAACTCTGGACTCGGGAAATCCAGAGACGACGCTCGTCTGGAATAATTTGACAGTCGTCCGGCGCGAAAAACCAAACTCTTTGCAAATTGTTTGGAGAAAGTTTAGGAGAAGGCGGTTCCAAGAGACGCGGACGATATTAAATGCAGGTGAAATGTAAAAATAATGTCCCCTCTGATGATTTACATCTGCATATTTGGAATTACGAATAAGTTCCTTTGAATTATAGTGTCTGGCTCTGCTGTGACGGGAAATTTAATCGCCATAATGGGACCCAGGTATAATTACGAATGAAAATTATTTTTATACGAGATACAAAACTATATCTATATTATAGCGGTGCTGGGAAGACAACGCTTTTGGCAAGTCTAGCTGGTAAACTGGAACCAACGAGTGGATCGGTATCGATAAATGGACGAATTGTTTCACGAGATACTTTGTCTGAAGTATCTAGCTACATGCCCCAATTTGATGCATTGCCAATGCCACTCACTGTACAAGAGCACTTGCTGTTTATGGTACTTAATTACTTCACTAATAACGATCATAATTAATAATAAATAAATTGATTTATATTTAGTACGCATTGAAGACGAACTTAAATAAAACGCAAAGGAAATATTCGTCAATTGAATTATTGACAGAACTGAGCCTCATCGATTGCAAAGATCTGTTAATATCAAATTTATCTGGAGGACAGAGGAAGCGACTTTCGTTGGCCAGTGAATTGGTCACTAAACCCAGGATAATCTACTTGGACGAGCCCACGACTGGTGAGGAACGCGATCTTAAAGTTCACGTGAAAGGTCCTCTATACGTAAAACGTATTGCGAAGGCTTGGATACATTTTCTGCGATGCAAGTGGTTCAAACCCTGAGGCTCGTAAGCTTGGAATCAGTAGTCGTTTGCACTATTCACCAGCCAGGAATGGATATATACAATCTCTTCACTCACGTGTTATTGCTATCTACTGGGAGAGTAGGATACTTTGGAACTCGAATGGATGCTACAAATTTTTTCCACAGGTTTTTATAATCGATTAATAAAAGTGTTCCTTCATAAACAATGAAGTGAGAAACAAGAATTTTTAAAGAGAAATTTCTTCAAGCCCAATAAATATAGTTTAGGATACGAATGCCCGGTTGGTTACGACGAGTCTGAATACTACATAAAGCTCTTGTCACCGCGAAAGAGCTGGGACAGCGAGCCCGAGAAACTTATCGATAAAATATGTGAAGCATTCTCGCGCTCCCCCTCGAGAATTCCGGAAATCGCGAACAACGAAATGCTCGATATCGAACCACGAAGGTAATAACTGGAAATCTCTGAAAATCTGTTAAGAAATAGAAATCTATAATTTACAGAGAAGCTGGACGTGTAACGCAGCTCCTCTGGTTAACGTGGAGAGTTTGGACTTTGAACAGAAGAACGATCTGCGACGACTGGATCTCGTGGATCTCTTATTTTGTAAGTTGAACCAACTATCAATAATTTCTTTGAAGATCGCTAGATGAAAAGCATTCTCTGCTTTTTCCTCGGTAAGAATTATGGAATGCAATTTAATGAACACAAAAGGAAAGGGAGAAACTGTAATTGAAATTAATCGCAGCTCTCCATAGCGGCGGTGGCCACTTTTTACACGGGAATTAATCCGCGGACGCAGAACGGTGTGCAAAATGCGAGGGGCGCGTTGTACATGATGAGCTCTGAAATTTCGTTTACGGTCGCCTACTCCGTGATTTACGAATTTCCCGGCCACCTTACGATTTATCTGCGGGAGCGCACCGTTTACAGTTCCGGGCCCTATTACATTGCCACCTTCCTCGGACTGGTAACAATCACGTTTTCCCTTACGCACTTTTTGTATGCTTCGTCACCAGATCATAGATTTAGATGAAAATGAAAAGCTGAATGCGTGTTTCAATATGTAAATGGTAAAAGAAACAGACAGAAAAATTTGCCTTGTATAAGAACGTTATATCTTCTACAGAATTCAATACTAACTACTATTTCATTACTTTCTAGTTCTCAATTTGACAAAAATACAATTGTTTTATTTAAAGTTAGTTGAATATTGTTTATGATTATGATAATAATAAGTAAATGGGAAACTTGACGTCTTTCGTTGATTTCACAACTTTCAGGTGCTTCTTTTCACAAGGCTATAATATTTATTATATTATTGCTACTTAAAATTATGAACGAAAGCAATGTAAGAAGGATTTTATTGGAATAGGAACCAGACATCTCAAACTTGCCCATTTCTTTACCTTTTCATGAAAGGGTTAATTTTTTACTAATTACAAAGAGATTTGCAGATACCAAGGGCCACCCTGAAGGCGCTGATTTTTACGACAGTTATGTACCTGATCCTAATCACTCGGATAGATCTGTTGAACTTTTTAGTCTACTGTCTAACGACGTCGGCCGCAGCAATTTGCGGGACTGCGTACGGTTTAATGTTCTCCAGCTGGGTGGACAACGTCGACGTACTTACATCAATCATGGTACCCATAGACACGCTGTTTCTGTTGACCGCCGGAATGTTTTACAGCCTCAGGTAGGAATTAATCATACTTTGCGAAGACGTTTATGGTTGTAATAAAAAGAAGGAACAAGGCGGCTAATAAATATATGAATACGATGGGAATGAAATATGCAGCGGTGTATGGAAACAGAGTTTGAAATGATGTAAATTTTTAAGGATGTATTGGCTATACAGTCAATTCCAAAAGTTTATGTACTTTAGAAAAACGCATTTCCT